ACTTCACAAACTGAATCATCTTGCCTATGAAAAAAATATTTCATTTGATTTTTTTTTCTACTTTTTAATCAGTATTTCAAGGTTTTCTTTATAGTGGTTATACTTACCTCTTGTTGCTATTATAAATATGAGCTACCCTTCATTACATATTTTAAGAAGCTAGTGTGTGTACTTGTTTGAACATGTTTGTGGATACTTCTCATTTTTGTATTTTACATATATTACCATTTTACATAATTTTATTATGTTTGTGTTAGTTCATGATTAATTTTCTTGGGCTGTCCAGATATTCACAGTATCATCTGAATACATTAAGTTTTATTTATTTATTTATTTTTTTATTTAATTTTATATAACAAAGTCCAATTAAATGAAAACAAACATTTATACACAATATTTGGGAATTTGGGCGTCGTTCTTTCCAAACTACTTCCTGCTGGTAAGGGGCGCTGTCTTGGGGGATTCGAAGAAGATTCAGATATCCTAGCTGTAGTCTGTAGGGCTGTTTTGTCCAGCTGTTTGGAATGTAGGATCAGCTTGTACTCTGTTTCAGGCGGTCTGGCATGATCAAACCACATTAGTCTGTAAGGAATCCACATCTTTTCATTTTCTGTGGAAACAAAAATAGAAATACTTTTCCCCAGTAACTTGTTCTTCAACTTAAATTTTGGAGTCAAAGCGGTTTTTTTTTTTTTTTTTTTTTTTTTTAATTTATTATTTTACATGTCGATCCCAGTTCCCTCTCCCTCCCTCCCTCCCTCCCCCCAAGCCCTCCCTCCCTCCTTCCCTCCCTTTTGCCCTCTCTGCCCTCTCCCATGCACTCTAAACACCCTCCCCTCCCAACCCCCCACCACAATACCATATGTAGGGGAATGCCATCCAGTTGGGGTCATGTAGATCTGGCAGGTCCTGTGAAGTAGGGACTAAGGCTTCTCTCCTATCTCTAGAATAAGGCAGTTATCCCTCCATGGGGGATATGTTTGCAAAGTCCTTTTGTGCACCAGGGATACATCCTGGCTCCACTGTCTGAGGTCTCTTAGACTGCTCAGACCTTCTGGCTGAGACCCATATTCAGGGGGGTCCGAGTCAGTCCCCTGTTGGCTTCCCAGCTATCAGTCTAGTGGCCCTTAGCTCCTCCTTGTTCGGGTAAGCTGTCTCTATGTACTTCTACCGCATGGTCTTGTCCTCTCCATCTGCTTCTGGGTTCTAGTTCGGCTCAGTGTTTATGTATGGGTGTTTGCTCCTGTTTTCAACAGGCATTAGTTGAGGACTCCATGGAGAAGTTAGTTGTTGATCTCACTCTCCGGGAAGGGCATTTATGATAGCCTTTCCACAGAAGCTGAGATTGTTAGTTGGGAGCAGTCTTGTAGTTCCCTCGACCTTTCTTTGTGTTCAACTTTATCTTCAAACCAATATTGGCTCCCTCTTTTATGTTCTCTCTCTCTGTCTCTGTCTCTCTCTCTCTCTCTCTCTTTCCTATTTTCCATTCCTAACCAGGCTCAATCCTCCTGGTCGCACATGCCTTCCTCTCCTCCCTCTCATTTTCTCTTACTTCTCTCTCCATTAGCTGTCTTCGCCCACTTTACCTGAGGTCTGGGGGACTTGTCCCTTCCCAGTTCTGTGAGGGACTTTATATGAATCTCTTAGAATACAACTTGTATCCTAGTTCCTCTGGTGATGTGAATTATAGGCTGGTGATCATTTGATCTAGTTCTAAATTCCATATATGAGTGAGTACATACTGTGTTTCTCTTTTTGTGACTGGGTTACCTCATTCAGGATGGTTTCTTCAAGTGCCATCCACTTGCCTGCGAATTTCAAGATACCATTATTTTTTTCTGCAGAGTAGTATTCCATTGTGTAGATGTGCCACATCTTCATTAACCATTCTTCAATTGAAGGGCATCTAGGTTGCTTCCAGGTTCTTGCTATTACAAATAGTGCTGCTATGAACATAGTTGAACAGATGTCTTTGTTGCATTGATGTGAATCCTTTGGGTATATGCCTAAGAGGGGGATTGCCGGGTCCTGTGGTAAACTAATTCCCATTTTCCTGAGGAACCGCCATACTGATCTCCAAAATGGCTGTATGAGTTTGCACTCCCACCAGCAGTGGAGGAGTGTTCCACTTTCTCCACATCCTCTCCAACATAAGTCATCACTGGTGTTTCTAATTTTAGCCATTCTGGCAGGGGTAAGATGGTATCTCAAAGTTGTTTTGATTTGCATTTCCCTGATAGCTAAGGATGTGGAGCATTTTCTTAAGTGTTTTTCAGCCTTTTTGATTTCCTCCATTGAGAATTCTTTCTTCAGTGTTGTACCCCATTTTTTAATAGGGTTATTTGGTGTTTTGTTGACTAGTTTCTTGAGTTCTTTGTATATTTTGGAGATCAGCCCTTTGTCGGATATAGGATTAGTGAAAATCTTTTCCCAGTCAGTGGGCTGCCGTTTGGTCTTGTCAACTGTGTCCTTTGCCTTACAGAAGCTTCTAAGTTTGAAGAGGTCCCATTTATTAATTGTTTCTTTCAGTGTCTGTGCCCCTGGAGTTATGATCAAGAAGCAGTCTCCTATACCAATTTGTTCAAGGGTACCTCCTACTTTCTCTTCTAAGAGGTTCAATGTGGCTGGATTGATGTTGAGGTCTTTGATCCATTTGGACTTGAGTTTTGTGCATGGCAACAGACATGGGTCTATCTGCAGTCTTCTACACACCCTCATCCAATTGTGCCAGCACCATTTGTTGAAGATGCTGTCTTTGCCCCATTGTATAATTTTAGCTGTTTTGTCGAAAATCAGGTGTTCATAGGTGCGTGGATTAATATCAGGATTTTCAATTCGATTCCATTGGTCTACCTGTCTATTTTTATGCCAATACCAGGCTGTTTTCAGAACTATAGCTCTGTAGTAGAGCTTGAAGTCAGGAATGGTGATGCCTCCTGAAGTTCTTTTATTGTATAGGGTTTGAATACATTAAGTTTTATTTCTTGCTCTCTCATTCATTTGGCCTGGTCTACTTGTTTTCACACACTAAGTCAGCTCTAGTGTCTGTTTCTTAAGTATGAAGGAAAGGGGAACAGCTGTGTCAGGCTCCCACAGTTATGTGGAGTCGTGACATAGAATAAACCCTTTCTTCCTTAAGTTGCTTTTGTCAAGAGTATTTTATCAGAGCAACAGGAAAAGAGATGAAATCAAGGAACAAGGTTCTTCTCTCAGGCTTCAGTGTTGCTTAGTTCCTGTTATGTAAGATTTCTCTTATTCTGTGCTTTCCTCACCCACAGTTTTTATCTACACCATTAACCCACGGTGGTCCCCTCTACAGAGTCACATTTCTTTCATGTTCCTTTCCTGTGCTTTATTTTTTTAATTCTTTACTTACTTGGTCTGGACCTTCTACCCTAACTTTGTGTACTGGTATTCTGTATTCTGCTTGATTCTTTCTGTTTGTAAGGCTTTCCCCTAAGCTTTCTAATTGGAATGCTGAGTTTTTCAATTCCCTCTTCATTTCAGTTTGTGTTTTCTTCAGTATTTTTATCTCTTCATTAACTTCTGTTTTCAAATTCTGAATTACCTTCACTGTTTAGCAGTGTATTTGTGTTTTCTTAAGCATCACTCTGGTGTTTATTTTTATCCTCTTGGAGTCTATGAAATATTTGCTCATTCTTCTTTAAATTACAGACATTTTTGATAAAATTTATAATTCTTCTAATTTCTGTCCTGGGATTCATCTAGGTAGTTCTTAGAACAATTCTGTAGGATTGGTGAGTTTGATTTATGACATTGTCTTGGCCATTTGTATTGCTTGTGTTTTTGTGAGTTGACCTAGGCATGTGAACTCTCATTGGTTTGTGACTGATGTGAGAATTGGGCCTGCCTTATATTGAGTTACTACAGGAGCTGCATGACTAGAACTAGGCATGGTAGAGCTGATGATCAGGTGTTGAACTAGACCAGGCAAAGATGACGTCTGGAGTTACAACAATGGGTATAGAGATTGCAGTGGGTAAATAGAAGCTTGGGATAGCTAAAGAATATCTTACCAGTCAAAGATGATCAAGTCCAAAGCAGATTCAAAGCCTGACAAGCAGACTGGAACTAAGGCTGTGGGTGTGTAAATGAGAACAGGTAGGGAGAATGATGGTATAAGACAGAATCTCCTCATCCAGCCAGCAAAGGTGATACTTGATTGAACAAAAGGGGTCAAGGAGCATAGTTTGCAAGTCTGGAGCTAGGCTTGTATACAGATGGCAAATAGATGGTGGAAGGGATAGCAAATAGAGACGGAACTTACCTAATGCATGTGGCTCAGGAACCAACCTGTTTAACATCTTTTTTAATAATAATGTTTTTTGAAATTGTAATTGTACTAGTTAGGGTTCTCGAATGGAACAGAACTGACAGAATGAATGAATCAATCTATTAAACATATAAATAAGTAAGTAATTAAATAAATAAATAGGATTTATTATAGCGCTTTACAGGCTGTTGTCGAGTTAATCCAGCAATAGCTGTTCTACCAACAAAAAGTTCAAGATCCAGTAGTTGTTCAGTCCACAAGGCTGGGTGTCTCAGCTAGTCTTCAGTATATGTCAGGATCCCAAAGAAGTAGGATTTAATACCAATGAAGGAATGAGCCAGGGAGCCCAGGGATGAGCAGGCAAAGAACAAGTGCTTCTTTCTTCCCTGGTCTTTATATAGGCTGCCAGCAGAAGGGGCCCAGATTTAAGGTGGTTCTCCTGCCTCAGAAGATCTGAATTTCTGGGTGGGTCTTCTTACCTCAGTGATCTAACCAAGAAAAATATCTCATGGGTATACCCAGTCACTTGTCCAGATGTAGTCATGTTAACAATTGTAAATAGCCATGACTGTAATAGTTGACCTTTTAACATGGAACCTTTTAATTTGAAAGTTTACCACCTAAAATAATAATGAAGGGTGAATTTTCTTTCTTTTTTACTTCATCACATATAATGTTTTAAAACACAACTTTCTTTTGGTTTTAGTATATGCAGAGAGTATTTCCAAAATGGTGGGAAGAGAAAAGCACTCGAGAAAGATGAAAAAAGAGCTGTACTCGCCACTAAGACCACTCCAGCCTTAACCGTGCACGAGTCTTCTAAACTTGAAGGTCATTTAACAAACCTCAGCTTTACAAGCCCTGAATTTATAACTGAGTAAGTATGCTTTATCTGTCTCAGTCGACATTTCCCTAGGTACCTGTGTTAGTGTGAATAGAATGGTTTACACAGTGTAAAATACTGGAAGAGCCAATACTTAGGAGTAGGCCACTTATTTTCTACTCTAGTATACGTATGTTTGAGAAACAAATTTATAATATTGTTAAGTATATTAAGTATAGGAAAACTTAGTGTTTCTATAGAGTATATTGTCCTTATAAAAATGAAAAAAGTGTGGTTTATTAAATGTTATTAATGACAACTACTTGTTGTGATGGTTATGACAATACAAAGAATCACAATGAAAGCCAATTAAATTGTTTTAAATGTTCAGCCACTAAGAAATTACAAAAACAATATTAATAACAATCAACCATCATCATGTTATTGTTGAATTGAAAATGTGCCTGGTGGTGTGTGTGTATCTGTGTGTGCACGCATGCACGCACACGCATATAGGTATAAACTTTGCAAGTTCATGAGTATTATAGTCCAGTTAATCATTAGTATAAAATTATGTATGCGTCTTAGTGTCAGAGTAAATTTTGGTGTCATATAATATTATTTTAGTTGCTTGAGAGTTGTGGAAACATTTTTGATAAATGGTGGAAACTAATAACAGCAAACTTAAATTTTTAAATAATTTCAGTATTGTTGATGCCAGCATAGCATTATCTTTGGTTACTCTGACCTTATTCTGTGTCAAAAGTATTATCTAGTTATGAGTACTTTTATCTAAATAAAACCAACACGTCATTGATTAGTTCACTAGGAAAGAACAAGTCATTTTTACCTTAAGATTATTGTAAAGCTTATAATGACTTACCAAACATCTTGTACTTTAGATGTCATGAAGTAACTAAAATATTTTTAAATTGTTGGCTAAGGCTGTAGCTTAGAGATAGAGGAGTATTCACCTAGCATCTGTGAGGCTCTAGGTTCAATCCCCAACACTGCCAAATAAATAAAATGTTGCTAAGAATAAACACTCATATAGCTACCTCAAAATAGGTAGCTATGAAAAGCATAGCTCTACTATATGGTTCTCTACTATATAGTTCTAGCTGTATAGTTCTTTAGCTCCGAGATTCCCTTATATACTTCTGCCATATTTTTTATTGATTCTTTAAACTTAGGATTTTTTTTTTAAGTCTCTAAATTTATGTTTTTAAGGTAGGATCTTGTTATTTTGCTTTGAATTCCTGGGTTCAAACAATCCTTCCCTCATCCTGTCATGTAGCTGAGACTACAAGTTTATACTTAATACCCATTTGGCCCTTTTATAATTATTGCTTTGAGATTTATATCTGCAGAATCTCAAATTTTTATTCACTCAGAGTAAGCTTCTATTTACTGCTTTTTTTGCACTTTCATATTTTTATATTCCACAGTTTTATATTTTTCTTTGCATATTTTACAGTGTTTTGTTGGTAGTTAAACATTGCCCATATGTAATATAAAACTTGTCATTGAGGGTTTTTTCCTAAGGGGATCGAGAAATAAGCTTTCTCTCTCTGTCTCTCTGTCTCTCTCTGTCTCTCTCTCTCCCTCTCCTTCTCCTCCCTTCCCTCCCTTCCTTCATCCCTTTTTCTCTCCCTCCTTCCCTCTTTTCCTCTTTCCTCCCTCCTTCATACCCTCCTGTTCTCCCTTCTCTCTTCCTTTCCTTTGTCTCTCGTTTTTCTCCTGAATATAATTGATCTTCAAGTTCTGTGGTTTGTTTATGCTGATGTCTGTGTTGCCTCTTTTTTAGCTGATAGTTTTAAGCTAGTTTTCTAGGGTTTGTACCTGTATCTCCATAGCTGAATGATTAAACACTGATAGATTATTGATTAAACTGTGGTGATATATTATTTAAAACTCGCTTGAGGATTCAGAAAGCAAAGCCAGCCTCAAACTGTATAGATCTGGCAGTGGTGATACATACTTTTAATCCCAGGACTCAGGATTAACACAGATCTGTTAGTTGAAGGCCACAGTGACTACACCAAAGTGATCCAGTCCTGGAAGAAACAGCTCACACAAAGGTGATCTCAACAGCTGGGGTCACACACCTTTAATCCCAGCATTAGGGAGGTATTTAAGACAGAGTCTTAAATTTAAACAGAGTCTCAGAGCTGGCATCTATCCATTCTCCAGCCACATTGAGGATAGGGCAGCATTCTGATAGTAGTCCCCAGCCAAGTTGAGGAGAACATAGCAGTCTGAGTGAACCTGAGGAGCAGTGAAGTTGGGAGAAGTTTGAGGATCACCCCTTTGATTTGAGCTGAGGTGCAGATAAGAGCTAGTGGCTGGCTGCTTTGTTTTTCTGATCTCCAGCTTGAACCCCAGTACCAGTCTCTGGGTCATTTATTTATCATGTTACATTAAACACTGATAGATTAAAAGTTGTCTTCAAATCCTCTGGGTCAGGATGACTTCCATCTTCTGCTTGTCAGTGTATGTGTTGAGTGAGGAAGATATTTAAAAAGTAAACAGTATGCACACCAGCCTCACCTTTCACTTTCTGCCGTTAAGCCATGTTCTTGTGGAGAGTTTATCTAGTTCCTGTATGTTTATTTCCTTTTCCTGGATCTTGCTGCTAAATTTCTGGTTTATCTTCTAGTCTGAAGCTCAGCCTGACCAAGACTACTATATCAACCCAAGACTAGCATGCCTGCTAACTATCCCTGTTTGTTCCAACCCAGTTTACTTTGTTCACTGAGAATATGCTATAAAATTTTCCACTCCACACTCCAAACCATTTCTTCCCCATCCAGCAGTAACGTTGCTGCAGATTCGCAGCCAGCTTTCTCCTGGAGGAATCTGAAGTTTTCCTTTGATAAAGCAAGGTAGGGCAGAAACAAGAACAACTCCAGGTAGCATAGCACAGATGCTTAACCTACATTCAACTTCTTTTCATGACAGACATTCTTCACTCTACTTGCCTCTCCATTAAACCCCTTGGAATGTTTATTTTTCATGGCTTTGTCCAACCTTATATTTACTTCTAGAAGAATAGATTTGTTGATATGTTTAGTTACTTTACTCATTGCTGTGATTAGATACCTGGCAAGAGTAATGAAGAAGGATTTATTTTGGCAAAGTTCAAGGTTAGAGTCAATCCTCTTGCTTAGGGGAGGCATGGCAGTGGGGCTTTCTGTAAGGCATTCATGAAGTTTTTTGTGCAGTAAACACTATGTCCATTCAGAACTTTGTATACGCTTTCTGTGCTAATAAAACACTCATTTTTGCATAGTATTCTTCATATAAATTTCTCTGTTGTATGTCCTTCAATACAATGATCCAAATCTCTTTTCTATATGATTATCTCTTACTAATATAATTGTCTACGTACTATCATTGTAGATGGTTCTGGGCTCTTGCATGTGATTGTTGAATTGAGTTCATTTGCCCAAACTTACCAGCATGAGGTGTTTTTATGTTTTTGTTTTTTCTATAATGACACTGGAATAAATTGTCAGTCCCTCGTATTAATATGTAAAAATATTAATGCAAATGTGTGCGCTTGAACCTGAATGTAAGAGTTTTCATTTAGTTTGCTGTATGCTAATTTGGTAAATTTGTAAATACCTAGTCAGGAGGCTTAGCAAAATTATCACGGTAGCAGTTCTGAATTAAATGACTGTATTTTATAAAATTTAAAGCCAGTTTTGCCAAAACAATACTTAAATAGAAATCCATGTTATTGTCTTCCACAACTTATCTTGGTTAAAAATACATGTTGCAGATTTTATATGTAAGCACAATGCAAATAATTACACTTACTTACTGTGTTCGTAACAGTCGGGAAGACAATGTTTTCTTCATTTTAGTAGTTGCTTAGTTGATAATCTTGGTTAATATCTAATGTACTGAGTCCGAATAAATAGACAAAACATTGAGCTGCCTTCCAAATACTGTCTTTATACATACAGATTAGTACAATCTTTTTAGTTAGCTTTCTATTGTTGTGGTAAAAAAAACAAAATGACCAAAAGCAACTTGGAGAGAAAAGGTTTATTTAGTTTAAACATCCCTGTAACAGTCCATCACTGAGTGAAGTTGTGGCAGGAACCTGGAGGTAGGAACTGATTCAGAGGCAGTGGGGAGATGGGGCTTCCTGACTTGCTTTTCACGGCTTGTTCAGCCTGCTTGCTGTAACACCCAAGACTACCAGTCCAGGAGTAGGAACCCCACCCCACCCCCAGAGAGCTGAGCCTGCCTATATAAATGATTAATCCAGAAATGCCCTCCCCAACCCCAGACAAATTTGATGAACAGATTTTTCTCAATTGAGATTCTTCTCAAATAACTCTAGCTTGTGTTGACAAACACAGAGCTTCACACCCATCATCAGAGAAGCTTCTTATTAAAGTGGGTGGTGGTTGACACAGAGATTCACAACTGTGGAGTGACTGTGACTGTGGAGTGCTGAGCCCCAAATGATGTTTCTGTTAGATCACTCCCTACCCACAAGGCTTAAGGGACATCATGGAAGATAGAGCAGAATGATTCTAAGAACCAGAGGTCAAGGACTGTTATGAATGTTTTGTGTGACAGGATCTTTGTACTCATAAACTCAGAGCATCTATGGCTTCCTATAAAAGATCAGCACCAGATTAAGCTAGTCAGCATTCTAGCATGGGTGGGAAGAGACACTCACAAGAGCCCACTTCTCCCTGAGAGCTATTGATAGTTAATTGATGGTGGAAAGAGAGTCGGTTTTTCTTAAAGGGCATGGCAAGTCTTAGGTTATCCATATCCCCGTACATGGCCCTATGTCTGTGCACATACTGGCAACAGTAACTGAAGTTGGTAGGCTTTCTTGGTTGGTTGGTTGGTTGGTTGGTTGGTTGGTTGGTTGGTTGGTTGGTTGGTTGGTTGGTTTTTTGAGACAAGGTTTCTCTGAATAATATCTCTGGCTCACCTGAAATTCACTTCGTAGACCAGACTGGTCTGGAACTCACAGAGATCCTCTTGCCTCTGCCTCCCTAGTGCTGAGATTAAAGACATGTGCT